CCCAGCCACTTTATCCCCATTTTCTTTCTCTTGTAAGTATTAGTAAAACACTTAGTGTGTTTTGGAGGGCTAACATACAAGCATGGATACAAAGAAAACAAGACTTGTTTCTTAACACAATGTATGGTACATTGAAATGAGTCTCAACAGCAAAATTGTTTATTCTTTGACATTCAAGATGTTTTGAGATTAATGAATAAGACTGTTCTTTTGTCACTTCTTAGAAACCTGGTAATAAATCTGATGAAAGTTGTTGATATATTTAGAGAGAAAACTGAATTTCAGCTATAGTTTAAGATAACAGGATAACAATGGAAATGAAACCTATGAATAAAAGAGTAAATGGCGTAACTAAAGTCATTATGTCCATATTTTCAGACAATTTAAAGAATTAGTTTTAAAATAGAAAACTTCTTGATAGATCATCATTGAAAGTCTCATAGTTTACCAATTAGAAAAGAGGAATTTCAGCCTTTTACAAGCAACTACCACTTTGGTGGCTTTCACATTTGCAATAGCACATTGTAATTATCAATGTTTTGAAAAGTGTCCATAACAAGACTCAGAGTTAAGGGAGGTAACTATAGGCAATATTAAAGTTGTAATTCCAAGTGAATGAATTGGACACTTGTGACTACAAATGTGAGTGTAATTCACTATAATTTTCCATTGCTTTTAGTAATCCTTCTTCAACTATTTCTAGTGGGGTACCTGTTTGCCACAATGACATTCTCTCCACTGTTTGAAAACCAGTTACACGAGGAAAAAAAAAAGAAATTCCTTTTACCAAATTTTTAAGGTCTCTCCTTTCAATTAAGGCCATGAAGACTGCATAAAGAATAGAGAATTATCAATTGAGTAAAATGCATACATGGAAACACGCATTCCTGCAGATTAAGACAAGATTAAATATCAAATGCATAAAATTGAAATCTGGATTAGAATAACCCACAAACCAATATTTTTAAATACTTTTTTGTCTTTATTCTTCACACACACTTTCAATATATGAACGAAGACCAACTTCTGATAGTGAGAATATTTTCTAACACATTGTCATTAATACAGGTAAAAATGTAGCAATTAAGACTTTCCTTTTTGTTATGCTTATATAGAATATAGTCTATTAACCTATAAACATGATTGAATATGTAAGGAAGGATATGGGTGTGCAAAGGTAAAAAGACTGCCTGACGATGGCACCTCACCATGTGGATGGACTCAGCAAAAAAATTTCTATTAAGCATAAAATTATAAATTATTTTGGTAGACCAACATCAAAAACAGTGAAGTGCCAAACATAACATTGTTAAAAAAAAAAAAAAATTGACTTTTTAAGAAAAATTCAAAATAATTGTAAATATATTCAACATTTGAAATGTTTTTCACATTTTGATATACAATAATGTCTGTGTTAATAAAACAGCCTAAATAGAGAAAAATGTCCATTTTGTTAAAAATGTATCTGACAAGAGTAAATTAGACAAAAGATAATGACAGCCCTCTTCCAACCATGTAAACCTTTTTCACAAGAATCAGCTCTACCACTTGTCTATTTCTTTCATATTACCACTTTTAAATCTTCCTCTGATGAAGTACTATTAGCAAAATATAACATTTATATTTTTGTATTAAAGTCGTAAAAATTCATAATAAGCTTAGTAGAAAGAAGTAAAAGAAGTTCATTGAGAAATATGGTGTATCATCTAATAACAATTGAGCATATCTTTCAGGTTTGGAGAGCTGACAGATATGCCTAATCATAGATCACATTCAAAACTTTACTTATCCAAAAGGAAAGAAAACTCACATCTTTGCTTCAATGCCATATTTGTCTGGCTAAAGGAAAATGAAAGAACACACACACACATAAAGATTGCAGTGGTGAATTGTGCATTGGATCAGGCTTTGAAACCTACCACAAAAAGAAGATTCTTCCACATTTTTTTTTTTAAATTTCCTCTCTAAACCATTTTCTTTAGTGAAGAATTATTTTTATTCACACTATTTAACTCATATTTAAGACAAGTTAAAAGAAAACATAGAAAAAAAATTGTTTCGCTAATTGCCCAGAAATATAAAGTTATTGCCACATTAGAAAATGGCAACAGAGCTGCTCCAGCTGCAGTTAATGGATTAGAATTTAGAGAAGTTTAAAATACTATACATCAACAAATAAAAAAAAAATTCTGATTGTAGATAATAGTAATAAGTTTTATCTGATTCATAAACTTTTAGACTAAGTTTCAGGAAAATGTTATGGAGGAATACCTGATCTGGATGAGAATAAGGCAGAGGATATGTCCTGAAATTCTGACACTGAAGGTATTCTAGTCACAAAAAAAATAGAAACTCATCAAAAGAAATGGTTGAGCCTCTATATTTTATATATAAGGGAGTAAGAAATGGAAATTCTAAACAAAGTTGAATTAGAGCCGTTGAACAGCAACAAGTGAACCAGTGAAGCTCTCTAACTCCTGCTTATATCAATTAACTACAAAATCAAAGCAAAAAACTGTATTTATGATTCAAGAGAATGCTTTGAGAATGAAATGATTGTGAAAAATCATTCAAATTTTCAATGAGGAATCTGAATTGATTAGAAAAATCACTAAGACAAGCATACACAACTTCCATATTGAATAAAAGTAGATATTTGGGCTAATTTTAGTTGTCATATATAGCATGTTTACCATATCAATTTTAAGGTAGATGCAAAATTCAATTATAAAATTTTAAAGTCTAGAAATAACTTTCAGTTCAAAAAGTTAAAACTAAAGTTTTCTCATTTACTATTGATTTAAACATTGAAACAGTGTGCATGTAAATAGCTCATTTAAAAGGTCACAAATCTGAACATTTCAATTTAGGAAATCACTTGCTTTTCTTGCAATGCATGTATGTACACATGCACACAATTGGACAAATGTAAGGACTGACCAACACTCCAAAATTTTAAACTTTAATTTCTTATAGATAGAATCAAACCAAAAGTTATTAATACTTTGCAAGAGCAAAAAATAAAAAAAAGAAATGAAATAATCTTTAATACTTACATTGATTTAATGTAGATATAAAAAGAGTCTCTTTAATAGCAAAGACAAGAGTGAATGAAAACTGACCTCCTAAGTTCTTCATTTAATAATAATAGTTTAAACCTATAGAGGTTTGAGTATTACAGATTTTGAAAGTCATAATAGGTAAAGGAATTGTAAAAGACTGGGCCAAAGTGAAAATGTCTATTACAAAGCTCAATGTTCAAAAGGATCAACATTTATCATGAAACTTGCATCTAATAAAATGAACACTTCATAAAGTGGTGGAGGCATTTATATTTCTTTAGAATATTGGAATAATAAAATAAAGAAAATAAAATTAAAAAAAAAAAAAAACACAGAAAAATCAATTTTTTGTACAGCAGACATTAAAATATGAGAACTAAAACCAAAAGTTGATAGGAATTTATTTGTAGGAAAGTAAAAAAGTAATCATTAATGTATGAGCACTAAATTTGGATATAAATCTAATTGAATATAAATCTAATATTAAATTATTTCACATTCCCCTCTACTCTGTATTGTATATCCAACAATATACAGTTGAAATAGAGTTGATTTCTCAGATTTTATCCAATTAATAGAAAACATATAAACAAAATGGGGAAATAGCTTCTATTTTGTCTTCTTTACCAAATGAGCAAAGACACTTAACAGTCTCCTTGCACATTGTTTTTGGAAATAGCTGTATCTAGATTTTACAAAGTTGTAGTTATGTGAAGAGTGAATGATTTATCCAATATGTTTGAACTTTCTAGTTTAGAAAGCAACATCTTTAGATGATAACTGAAGATCTAAGCCCATGTTTGAATGTAAGCAGGAAGGTTTAGAAAATCTTACGATGAGTAAGTGTGGAAAATCTCCAGAATCCAGACTTGAAAAGAGATAAAGTAGCCAGAAAGCATCCTAGTTGAATACTGTGGGCCTCACAAGACCAAAAACAGCTACAAAAAGTAATGGGAAATGTAGAAGACTGATCAAAGCTTTCAATACTTATGGCTAGACTGAAGAACCAATAGACATCTTTACCAAATGAACCATGACAAATAGCATTAACAGTGGGATTTTGATACTTCAGATTTTACAAAAGTAAGGTTGTAGTAGGTAAGGAGTTTGAAAGACATTCTCTTGTGCTCTTTCTTGAATCAATTACAACACCTATTGCCTCTCAGGAGGTGGGATATGAGTCAAGGGAATGAAAACTTGAATGGAGACATCTAAAAGGTGTCGCTACTCAGACGGCTGTAATTTTAGTTTTAATGTCTGAATGAAGAATTGGACGACTGGCCAAATGAAAGGAATTTTGTATAGCAGCAGCAGCAGAAAGCAATGGCAGTGATTCAGCCAGATGATTAGATAAAGAGGCAGCAAGGGAATCTGGAAGTTTGAACATGTGGCCTAAAAAGTAAAATGAAGTGGTTTTGATATGAAGGTGAAAGGAAATGGATAGGGAATTGAAATAATGAAGTCATTTTTATAAATGAGATGTCAGGCATGCAAAGTGAGGTGACAGAAAAGAAAAAAAAGAAAAGTAATATTATACTTCTCAGATTTGTTAACCAGGTGACAATATGAAGAGTTTTAAGATTTGATAATGTTGATGTTGAGAACTACACTAATAAAGATTGAGAGCAGAGCTCAAAATACTCAAACTTCAATTCTTTGTCCTCTTTTAAAGAGATTTAAGGAAATTGTTGACCAACAAGAAGCCATTAATTCCATCTTCATCCACCCACAACAGAAAAGAAAAAAAAAAGGGGGAAGCAAATCGTCATGTTTAAAAATTACAAGTCCTAGCTGCAGCTCCTTCCTCTTTATTTTTTTTTTATACACACTGAATGCTTAACACCTGCTCCCAACAACCATGTGCCCTAAAATCCACCATACCACCTCACCACACCAATGGGTGGGGGTATTTGTATTGTGCTCTTGACTGGACTTGTCTCATAACATGCTGCTGGAGGCCTCTGATGACAAGTGAAAAGGACAAGGACCTTCTGTCCACTGAAAAAAGACAAAAGAATGATAAAGTATTCAAATCATAAGATAAAAAGGTAGGAATGTTTTCAAAAATAGATTTAATAATTACAAACTCCATGCTGAAATGAATTAAATCTTTCTTCTTACTATGACACAAAAATTGACAATAACATTTTCTTTAATATTAGAATTTTCTTTTTTCTTTCTCCACCTCAGATGTTGATTTCCAACTGAAAAGTTTGTTCTTACCTAACAATATAACAACTCTTTATATAGTATTTATGTTGTATTCATCTAGACATGATTTAAAAAAATGCAGGAAGATATGTATAGGTTATGTGCAAATAATACATAAAATTATACAAGGGACTTGAGCATCTGCAAATTTTGATATCTATAGGGGGAAGAGGATTCACTCCCCACACTGATACCAACAAATATTAGTAGAACATCAAAGAGTTGCTTGAATTTTTATCCTTCTTCCATTATCTACAGATGTTAATTAATCTACTTTTTTATGACATCACAAAAGTTATTCAATTTTCAAGTATTCTAAAAAAGATAAGATAAATGATAAATTAAGTCAGTGGATTTATATTTAGCATTTTTTGTTTATATTAAACAAGAACCATCATAATTGTACAATTCTATCAGAATCCATTAAGAGAAAACTTGTAGTCATTAAGTTTTTTACTGAATTAAATGGCTACATATTTATATTTTGTGCATTTCCCAAGTCACTGATCATAAGTACAAAATATTTGGTTGTTTTTATTTTTCCATTCACTAACAGAAGCAAACTTTTAGTCATGCCAGAAATCAAGCAAAATACTAGAGAATAATTTTCAACATTTCTTGACTGTATTATGTGTTCTACAATTGCCATCTGAATATTTGAGATTCCATAAAATGCAGTTTTAAAAAGTTAGACATTTAGATAGACAAAAGTGCAAAATATAAGCTTTCAATTTTTATGATCTTGAAAAATGCTGATTGAATATTTTGATCAATTAAAGCTTGTAGCTCAATTGAAATACAGTACAGGCTAAGAGACATCATACAGATTCTATACTAAATGAATATATTCAAGGATAAGTTTGAAAATATGCATGCACTTTTGCACAGATATTTTGCTTTGATCATTTTATTAGTTTAGTAGTTTAAGCACTCTTAGGGTTACACAGAATGTTAAATCTTCACTTTCCATTATAATAATAACTGCAATAAAATAACTTTTTTTTATTATATCAAAAAAAAAAAAATACAGATATTCTTTTTTGTCTAGGTTTTCATCTTCAAAGCTGTTATGCTCACAACGCAAACACAAGATTTATCAAGTGGGGATTTAATAACATTTTTTTGATTTGGGATTAAATCAAATGATTGAGAGCTTCTATAAGATCATGCACAAAAAGATGCTTAAAATGTCCTGTAACCCATTAGGGCCAAAGGGGTATCATACTGCAGCCATAGCAGAAGTGGTATGTCTTAAGCAAGGTAGCCTGACAGAAAGCCAATCTCTCTTGTGTTTTTCTTCACTTAGATTGGTTGCTAACTCATGTCAAGAGAGCCCAGTCAGCCCTGCTATTTAACCAACAGCTGAGGAAATTAATATTTCACTTGAAATAATTATTCACAATACAGAAAAGTAAAAATAAAAATAGATATCTTTTTTTCTTTTAAGCATATGTTGATTCAAAAATAAAATTGGCATAAATTTTTCAAGCAATTGTCAAGACTGGAGAGTTTTGTTACTTCTTAGAAAATGTGAAGGCAGAAAAACTAAATCACTGGAAAGTCTTCAAATTTTGACACTAAAGTTCATAACTATCTTTACATTCAGTGTAATAAGACAACTTTGCAAACTTACCTGTATTAGGCCATGTTCAGACATTTGTGAAGATTGGAAATGGTCTTTGAGGAGATCTTGAGAAAAGCTTGTATGCATTCTGTAACCCTCTGCTTCATTCACCTGGTCTCCACATAAGTGATATAGATCTGAATTTAAGAACATTCACATAACATTGAATCAATTGTCATTAATTCAAAACAATTTTTTCCTTGATTTCCAAAAATGGTAAAATAAATCTTTAGAGAAGATAATGCTCTAATAGAAAAGTTGCAAAATTTCCAAAAGATTGCAGGGGGTGGGGAGCTCACTTTTGAATATGTAAGAAATAATCATGGTTTCAATTATATTTATTTGAAATATTGATAAATTCTTATGAATATAGATGACTTAATAAGTACATTACAGTAGTAATAGCTTTAATATATAAGTGAATTCCTTGCTAAAAATTGTGAAAACTGAATTGCTGTTTAAAGATAATGATGTTTAAATGATTTCAAATAGAAATTACCTTTTAGTAATGAGGAGGCCCACAACTGAACATGAACATCTGGGATTTTTCCAGCAAGCTGCATTGCTGGAGTCACCATATTCATTGCTTCCTAAAATAAAAAAAAAATAAAATAAAAAATACAATAAGCAAAATTATTTTCGGTGCTAAATGCAGAGAAGGTGTTAGCATCATAGAATGATCTTTGGAGAGGATTTAAGTAACATAGTAACATATTAAAAGTAGTTAAGGAGCAATTATATGAGAAAACTTTGCAGTTAGGAAATCAAATACAAAAAAATTAAATAAGTTTTGATTGATAATAAAAATGATGAAAGATCATAAGAAATATTTTTTGTCCAATCAAAAGTTCCGCTGAAGATTATTCACTGAAAGTATCTGAAGCCAAGCAGTTATTTTTTTCCCTTATACATACAAAAGTACACCAAGGATTCTCAATAGTGAAAATAGCATCACTCTCAACTCATACACAGCAAAGTGGCTATTCAAAATCTGTACAGAACAACATGAATATTCATAACTGTAAACCAACTTTAATAAGAATTCATCAATCATAAACTCTTTCATTATTATTATTATTAGAACTGTGTTCCAATTCTCATTTCTTTATTTTTGAGTTAACTTGACATCAGGATCCTTAATCCATTTACCATGCCAGTCATAACAGTATCCTGGCAGACCTTTTCTACTTGACCTGGTTTTAATCCATAACAAAGTCTTAATACAGCTTTATTTCAACCAAACCTAGTGAACTTTGTTACCAACAATTGTTAGCATTGAAATATTAACTTTTAATGAAACAAAATGTTAATAAAGCAGGAAAGACAAATTTCACTTACCCTGCTATTTCCTAATGACAAAAATATGTGGCCCAATAACACAAGTGAACAAGATGTGAGTCGATTTAAATCTTCAGCATTGGCCATTTTCAAGGTTTCTCTAAGATATCGTCTGCAATAGAACATTAAAAATAAGAGGAAAAATAGAAATTTTTCAATTTTAACAATGTTCTTTTACTGTTTCTCATGTCAAAGGCTAAAAACTACAGTGTATACTGTGTGGAGGAAAAATAAAGTCATTCAAAACTTTGCCAGAAGCTTATTCTTTACATTTTTATTGCTGCTGCTGCTTACTTAACAATCAAAGAATGGAAAAATTATCTGAGCATCGTGATAAAAAGCAACAAAATGAAATGAAAGAAAAGACTAATCTCAAATCATTAAAAATGGTAAGGATTTATGAAATTCCATCAAGAATGTGTTTGATAAATTTGTGCATGTTAGGAACAGATAATAACAGTAGCAGACAAAAGACATTTGAAATGACAGCACTGTGGAATCAAACAGGTACAGTTCCAACACTTTGTTAAAAATTGAGTGAATGCATTGATCTAATGTCACAAAAGTCATTGTCAAATAATCCTGAATAAATGCAAAACTTAAAATACTAAATTTTTAATTGACCTTCCAATATTAATTCCTTTTTTGTTTTTTTATAAATTTTTACAAATCTGTTTTTTGTTACTTCTGTAATTCATCTAGATATTGAACTACAATTGTCTGCATGCAATTAACTCTTTATCCACTGAAATCTACTTTTCTGTGTACATTTCACTCTGGACAATGATTCTGAAAACAACTTTTATGTATGTCATCATCACCATCACAACTTTACACATCCACAGGAAATCACCATGTAACCCAAAGAACAAGTCATTGGAAAGTAGGGGGACTGATTCATTTTGCTTAACTATATTGATCCTAAAAAGCATTACTTACTTGGCTTCACTGTAGCCGGCCTGAAAGAACGCTTGTAAACCACGGACATAAAAAGCCGATGCACGTAAACTATGTGAACTGAAAAATAAAAAGGATGTGTTTAACAGCAGCTAAGAAAAAAAAAAGAAAGAAAAGAGCCACAGTATATGTAGTTCAACTAAAAAAGTGGATTTTAAAGAAAATATATAAATAAAAACAGCTAGAATATTTGTAAATAATCGGAATTGTTCATGAAGATAATGTAAACTATAAAATTGTGATGAAATTTCTGTCTCTCTTGCAATAATTGGTATGAATGCAACACTAAGTTAATGGTATCCCAATGTCATTTTCATTATAGTTGCTATAAGTAACATGTTTTAGATAGAAATAATGATAAGATAAAACTGTTGACTATATTCACTTATTCTTTAAATAAAATGTTAAGAAATAAATCTGAAATAAGGGGAAATAATCTAGTAAGACTTTATACGGAATATGGCCACGAGACAAGACAATTAAATTAAAATTTTTTAGGAAAGGAAGTTTTTACGTTTTTTTCTTTGTTGGGAATTAGTTATGTAAAGGTGACTTTTAAATATAGCTTTATAAAAATTATAACTATATTCATATAAAGTGCTTTCAATTCAAACTAACAAATTATTTCCTGACCCCGAAAGGAAATTGAGAAAAATAATAATAAAAAGATTGATAAGAAAAAAAAAAAGCTTGATGCAAAACATGGGACAAACATTAAGAGACTAAATACCTGATTCTGTTCATTATTTCACTATCTGTGGACTTTCTTCTGTCTCTGTAAAAAAAAAAAAAAAAAAAAAAAACAGAAATTGCAATAAGATTACAAGAGATTTTCTCAGAATTTTTCATTAAATCTTTGAAGATTAAAGTTTATTAAATTTAAAATAAAATAAATGAAATTTACATAGATTATCTGAAAATATGTGTCAATTTATTAATTAAATTTCAAGATTTTAAATTTAACAAACTTTAAAATTTAAACCAAAAGAATTCTTAAGATACTATTATTATTTCTTTTTTTGGGAAAAAGGGTTCACCCATGACATTATATTAGAAAAGCTTTCAATTGTTTTTCTAAATAATTTAAACCAATTTAAAGAAAGAATTCACTATTTATTAAAGCTTCACTTCTACGAAATACAAAACTGTTTGGTTAACATATTTAATCAAAATTTAATTAGAAAAAGGAATTTATACCAATTTAAAAACAACAATCCATTTAAAGTTTATTTAAAAAAAAAAAAAAAAAAAATGTGCATTAAGCAAAGCATTTTAAATTAAATTTTGCAAAAATTGCGCAGTAATCAAGACAAGAAAGATCAGTAAAAAGGCCATTAACTAAGTAAGTTTCTGCACATTACTACTTGAGGCAACACCAGTAATGGCAGCTGGGCTGTAGATGCAATGTGAATAAAGCCGAACTAAGATTGTCAATAACGCCTAAATGGTATTTGAGTGCAAACTTTTATTGTTATCTTTGACATAATCAGGCAATTTCACACCATAATGGAAAATTTTCATTACAATTGGTTTTTGGGGATTATAATGCAATTTACCAAACTTGGAATGAAAAATCCATTAACATACCTACACTAAGCTGACAAAATAAATAATTGAAAAAAAATTTTTCAGACAGAAAAAAAAAATAAAAAAATCCAAATATTTCATACAGATATTTTTAATCCACACATAAGAATGTAAAGCCTAAGTATTAGATGATCAAATTTAATCCTTTTCATTGTCAGAATTTTTATAATGGACATTTGAATTTGTCATATTTGTATAGGTACCATCATAGAAAAGGTGATTTTTAAAAATAAAAAATATTTCTTGAAGCTTTTATTTTAGTTTTAATTTCAAGCTAATAGATTAAATTTAATATTTCAAATGTCCTTAATATATCTTATTTATAAAAGCAATTGAAAATTTTTCTGATTAAATGTCATAGTTTTATTGCATTTTTCATTTTACAATTTAGAGCAGATTTTCAGTAAATGGTGTTTCTGTTTGGCAAAAACAAATTGATGATGTAAATTCTCCAAAGAGTCCAGTTTTTTTTTATCTAACCTAACTATGAAGGTGGAATTTTAATTTCTCAAATTTTCATAAAATTAAGTAATATTTTTACCAGGAGTTTCTTAAAAAGAAAAAAAAAATTTCAAAAATAATTTCATTCATTTAAAAATTTCATTAAAATCCAACAATTATTTGATTTTTGCAAGAATTCCCATACTAATCTTTGGCCCACCTGCTGATGCAAGAAAAACAATTTTTAACCAAAATTTCAAACATGCTGGAAAAGACTAAAAAATTTAATAAAATATTCAAAAATTATTTTGGTCTTTCCTCTTAATAAGAACAAACATCTTAACAATAAAACTTTGTTTATACCAAGTTTGGAGCCTTTTTCATCATTGTATGCTTTATTTAGCAAATGTTTGAAGATAAAATATTTGTATAAGTGTCTTTTTACCTTGGTTAAGTAAATAAGTTTCTTTCTAAAAACAGTAAAGCCAAGAGAAAGAAACATAATGAAACATGCATTTTCTACTTACGATGATGATGATGATGAGGAGGATGAGGATGAAGAAACTTTCTGAGGCATGACCACAGTTTCTAACAGACTTATTAAATCTGTGGGCCTATTCGTCCGTAAGTACACAATGGCCAAATTCAGTTTTACAAATGTACGTAAATCAACATCAGTAGACAACTATAAAGGAAAAGAAAAACTTAATTTGATTCAAAAGAACAAAAATCAAGTAATAATTTCAACAACTGAATTTAGTAGAAAAATTAAAATGCCTGATCATTAATTCAGAGAAGAAAAATATGGAATACCCATTCCATGTTTTTCTTCCCAAACAAATAGTTTGTAAAAGAAATAAAACAATCAAAAAGAAAGTTTGTTTTTTCTTCTGCAATAGAATCTTAAATGAAAGAACATTTGATTTCATGATACTCACTTTAAATGCTGTATTAAACTGGGATTCTGCTGCTTCCATGCAATTCATTGACATTGCATAAAGACCCTAAAATGAAGTTAAATAAGTCATTTTTTTCATAGCATGAAACAAGTTCATATAAATAAAACTAATTTTTCTGAGCATTAAATAATACCATAAATTGATGTAAATTTACTTAAGTTTGCAAGAAACCAAATTTATAATAGGAAGAATATAAACAAGAAAATAAAGCTGAAGAATATTTGGAGGTTAAGTTATATTTTCAATCTCAACAATTAAATATAATAGCTTATAGTCAATACATAATCCATTCATTATACACTGCCAAAGTTCACTGTTATTTCACTTTTTCCATGCCTTTTATTCTGAAAAAGATAAAATAACATTATCAACCTCGAGGATGTGTTTTGTGGTGTAATGGATATTGGTTCAGAATGAGAAATCGGAGAGCCAAGATTGAATTCCAGTTGAGTTTGTTACATGCAAATGCCCCTCAGCTATGAATTGAATAGCAAGGCAGACTGAGTCCTATAGCCTTGGTTGGCAATCAGTCTACTGCAAAAAGAAATGGCAACCTACTGTGGGAAAAATCTTGTCTAGACTGTCATGAATCAAAAGAGACCGCATCGTCCAACCGTGTATAACGTGTGGCTCTTAACTGACTGATCATCCGCCTATATTAACTTATTGCCTCTCTTTAGATTATTCAGTCATGTGACTCATTGCACTTAAATCATCTGAAATTTATTTAATACTTAACTGTGTTGACAGTTTTTTTTCTTCTTGTGTTTATGTATACTTTCAAAACAATCCAGTAATAATTGTTGACTGATCATGAAAATAGAAAGTGAACATTCACAAAGCCAATGCATAGTTGATGGTGCAATATTTAAAAAGATCTTCACTAGCAGTTTATTAAACAGCCTTATGTGAATATGTTTATTATGCTAGAATCAAATCAATAGAATGGCCTGCTGAGGCGAATGAAGAAAACAGTAACCAGCGAGTAAATTCAAGCTCTCCCAGCTGGTATTTCAACCTTGAGTCGTTCCTTCTTGAGTTCTGTCTCAAAATCACACTAACAGCCCGTTCTTGCCGTCAACCGTGAACGTCCCTCGAAGAACTCCGCACTGGAAAAAAGTAGTTGTTTTTATATTTGTCCATATACCCATAATCCCTTGCGTCTTCATGTGATCCCATAATTCATTGCGTCCATGTCCCATAATGCATTGCATCTTTATTGCATAAAAATGCAATGCAAGTCCCCCTCATTCTTTTTACGTTATCTGGCCGAGGATGGATTACGGCAGAGCGGTAAGTGCTTTTTTTCTCCCTCATTTCAACTGCAGTAGCTTTACATACTAAGCAAATACGGGCTCTTTTTTGGCGGGGACAAGGCAAGTGGCGACCAGTTGTGCTCGTCCCAGGTTCTGTCTCATGTCAGCCACACTCTCCCTTGATCTCGTGATCGCACAGATGACATTGCGGATACGGTCTTTTGTTCCGGGTGCCCCTCCGAAGACGGATTGGTTGAGCTTTTTCATCAAAGGAGCTCTCATTAGACACGTCCCGATCTATTGGAAAACTACCGCTATCGGAGTGATCGGTTGTTGAATCCAACTCTATGTATATTGGCCGTTCACTATCCTCCATGTGTTCTTCGTCAGTTGTGGGATTTGAGCCCAAAAAGGGCGCAGGTCTCTAACATGACGAGGCGTTCCATCGACCGCACTGACTGCTGACTCACCACCTCGGTCACACGTCCGGTTCAAATTTGGTCGTGCATTTACCACGTGGAGTCTTAACCCAGACAATGTCCCCTTTCTTGCATTCCCCTTCGGTTATTTGTGATTCAGGCGGGGCGTCGCGTCGATGCCTCTCACCCGGACGTGGTATGTGTGCAGTACATCAGCCGGTGCCGTGGAAGGTGAAAGGTTGTCCTTAGGTGTGACGTTATGCCATTAAACCGCTTCCAAGACTGAACAATTTTTTCCTGGCCGCTATGGTTTTGACGCTTCTGTGGTTGTGTTCCACAATGCCATTTCCAGACGGCACGTAAGCGCACTGGAACCTTAAATGCACACCCCAGCTGCTTACAAATTCCTTAAATTGTCTGCAAGTGAACGTGGTGTCATTGTCAGTCAGTATTTCAGTCGGCGGGCCTCGTTCGTAGAAGACTGTCTCCAGCTTACGAATGACACCAGCAGAGTCTTGCTGTCTCAGTGGCCGCCATACTGCAAAACGGGAGGGACCACAATCAATGAGTGTAAGAAAATGGCTACCATTGTAATGGGTCACGTCCATTGCTAACCTGCTCCAGTTTCTTCTCACACTCAAATTTCCTTTTTTCCAATGCACTGGTGCTGGATCGATCGATTGGCAGGCTTCGCAGGTTCTAACAACAGATTTTATCAGTTCCTTAGACACCGTTGGATCTACGGTCCTAGCAAAGTACATTGTTCTTTTAACACCTGGATGCTCACTCTGCTGGTGGATGTGGGTCACCTGACGTTTGTTCAACTGGCTCGTTGCAGTGACACAACTCACTTGCACCAGTTCTCCTCCTTTCTTGTGCATCTCCAACCAGCGTTGCGGCAATCTGGTGAGGCTGTCAGCGCGGATCTGACAAGATTTTACCAACGTCACAGTCATAGTCAGTGCGTACTCCTCCACCAAAAGTGTCTCTAAGCGCCGCCTCATCAGCATTTCACCCGCCGCCTTCGTGTTCACGCGCGTCTTTCCTGTCAGGGTGTCAGACACGCACCGATGCACACATGTTGAATCGGTGACCACATGCATAACTGGTGCCTGCCACTGCAGGGCAAGATTCACGCCCTTGATCACCGCATCAAGCTCAGCAAGATTAATGTGTTTGGCATCATTAGTTGGACGTAACCAGCAAGCATCTTCCACGACGCTTCCCATTCACCTCTAGTGCTACTCCCGTAGCCACAGAGCTTGCATCCACCCAAACTGTCATTTCGTTGCTGTTCACACACCAGTCTCCACCGACAGGATCTGATTCCCGCACTCTGGCCACTGTTTCCTCCAGCATACGTCCAAGAGGGGCATCCTTTATCTCGTCGTCCCATCCTTTGGTTAGTGTACTTGCATAACGCTTAATAAATGCAGTTGCCACCCTAAGCCAACCGCACACAGGGAAATGACCCACGAGTTTCCCGCACAAGGAAAATACGCTTCGGCGGGTCACCATTTGAGCAATTTCTGGAACCTGACCTCCCCGCTTCCATCGAAGGGAGTTGCTTTCTTCCCAGACTTGCAGACCCAGGACCTTAGTTCCGTCTCTCAATCGCTCCGGATCTTTACAGACTAGCCCGTAATCTGCAAAGTGCTGTCTTACACGCGCTGCAGAAACTAGGCCTTCATTTATGAAGATATCGTCGACGTATGCCGACGTGGCACTCTTAATGTCCTGATCCTGGGACGTTATCGTGTCGATCACTGACTTCATGACAAGTGGTGCCACATTCAGGCCAAAACCCAAACGCGTAAGGCAAAACCGCTTACCCTTAATGACCACTGTTTGAAAAGTCATAGCGATTTGTCAATGTGAATCTGTAGGTACGCATTTCTCAAATCCAACAGCGATACGTCAGCTCCTTGACGTCGCCATTTCGTAATTTCTGCGCACACACCTCTGCGTCAGCCGTGAATGCGTCTACAAAGCCGTTCAACTCCCGATAGTCAAGTACCGACCGGACCTTCTGTTTGTGTTCTTGTACGACCGCCATTAATTAATCCCTTGGGTGGGCCAAGCTCTTTCTCGGGATATGGCAGTAGCCATCCGTCTCGCTGCCACCGTGCTAGTTCTTTATCGTATGAATCCCGGACGTGGCCAGGTACTGTGTACTCCTGTACTTTATTGACCAACTTGCTAGGTGAATGACCATTCACCCACTTCCACAATGCAGTCCACGTTTTTGTGCTCGGGTTAAACGTCACTCTAAAGTCAGGCTTGTTGATAACAATGGCGGCACATGTGTTCAGGTTTCAGAAACGCGCTTCGCCTGATTCGGTCAAGTAAACATCCTCCGAGCACTTTGATTGCATCAATCCCGAGAAGAAGATCGAACCCTAGCAACTGTCCTTCCACGACCAGAACCTTAACAGTCACGGGCTGAATCTGCTCGACGCCCAACTTAATTTTACCGTATCCACGGCACTTCAGGGTCCTCCCGTCGGCAGTCAACACTCCCACCTCTTCCTGCTTCCAGCAGCGACACAGTCTTGCTCACCAGCGTCTGTGAGCATCCTGAATCCACTAGAGCTGTGCACTCTACTCCTCCAAATACAAATACGGTTAACATCGGGTTTTTACTTGCTCGGGGAAAAGGCTGGCGCTGACGCCTTCTCCCCTTGGGCGTTTCCCCTGGCATTCTGAGGAAATGTGTCCAATGCCATTGCATCAAAAAACACCGCTTGTCGCGGCCAGACCTCTGCGTTCTGTTTGACCTCTCCTGACGTCCTTGTGTACAATTCTTCGCCATATGGTTGGGTCCAGAACACTTGTAGCAGGTAATCGTTCTGCTAACAGGTTTGGCAGGGAAACCTCAGCTTCTGAGCGCGGTAGCTCTACGGATGCGGCGGCCAATACCTGGAACCCTTCGTCATCCGTCATAATAGCCCTTGCTCGGATCAGAATCTGTTCTAGATTCATGTAGTCCATCCTGGACGAAGCTTTGAGAAGCTGCCTAACATGATGTGGCAGCCCTGACACAAATGCACAAATGCCATCCACCGATCAGGCAGCGGTTCTCCTATTAGCCGCGCCAAACGATGCATTTCAGCCAGGAATTCATCCACAGTTTCCCCTGGGCGAAGACGCCGTCCCATAAATTGGTCGAACGCGTTAAATCTGTCATTCGCGTATGCAGTCATAAGGGCCCGTTTAATTTGTTCCGCGTCTGCCCTCTGCTCTCCAGTGAGTTGTCTATACACAGCAAAGGCGCCGCCTCGAAGTCATAGAGGCAAGATGCGCTCGATCTTGTCCATGGCACAAAGTTCGCAGACCAATTCCACATTTTCTATCCATTCAACAATGGGCATATCCGTTGGGGTGCCGCTGAATTCTGAATCAAACTGACGTCAAAGACCTTGCCTTCCATTTTGAAGAATCACTATGCCGAAAAATCGTTCCTTCTTGAGTTCTGTCTCCAAAAACTAAAACCGTTCAACCAGCGTGAAAATTCGAAGAATCTCTCCCAGTTTTGGTAGTTTTCAAACCTTGAATCGTTCCTGATCATAATGATTTCATGTCCCTCAAAATCGCACGTTAATAAAGACTGTTCTCCCCCCGTCAACTTTGAACGTTATCTGGAAGGAATCCCCACTGGAAAAAAGTTTTTGCTTTTATATTTGTCCATATACTTTAATCCCTTGCGTCTTCATGTGATCCCATAATTCATTTCGTCCAGTTGTGCTATCCCAGGTTCTGTCTCATCTTTATTGCTAAAAATGCAATAAAGAAGATGCAAGTGGAACAATGTCATTAGTTTTATGACTATTTTAATAGTTCCTTCTTTAATGTTATCTGCTAAAATGTAATCAAAAGTCAAAGCTGATAGTAGACGTTCATTTGATATCATTACAGCAAAGCTTTGATTTTGAACGTTCAGAATATTTTGATCTGATAGGCGAAGCTGCTTTTTGATGAAGCGGTAGGCTACCTGCATATGGATTTGGGCTCCTGGGTTGAAATGTCTCACTAACTGAAACATTGCATGCTTGGAAGATCTGAACAGCAAGAAGAAAAAAGAATTTTAACACTTCAAACTTGGAGGAAAGAAACTTTATTCACATTGCACCAAAGAATCAAAAGCAAAAAAAAAAAAAAATTCAATAGAAAAATAAAGTTCTTTACCAGATTACAAGTACACTTTTGTACATGAATTATCATATAGGTTTTAAAAGGATGGAGAGAGAGAGAGAGAGAAAAAGTTACTTTACATTTCAGAGAAAACTAGAACCACAAAAAACTCACCATCTAAATGTACATTTTTGTCAAATTTTATTACAAATATAAAATAGCTGAAATGGTGGTTTCCTGAGAGAATAACTGTATTGAATATCTATAATTTGCTATAGAATTGAAATTATGAAAATTCTTATCTACAGTTAATGAGTTTTCAGGACCAAAACTTTTCAAGTTGGTATGTATTTCTGCTATCATATTTTTGCATTCAACATAAAATATGTAATCCATGGAGAAAATGGTTATAAAGACTTTTCATTTAAGACAATAACAATGATTTAATAATTCAGGTTGATATAAACCCAAATTTTTAAAAAAATTAATCAGTTTGTCTGACGATCGCTAAAGCGTGAAAAAGGGTCACAAACTGATCTATCCAACCATATATATATATATATATATATATATATATATAGGCATTATGAATTTTGGGATCTTAATGGGGTGAATTTATTGGATAACCCCTCAAAATTGTAACTATTATTTTAGGATTTTTCGTTTTTTTTAGTTATTTATTTATTTGGACTGATTTTTTCTTGATTTTTTTAACGATTAATTTATCAGGATCGGTTTGTTATTGTGTTTATTTTTTGGATTTTTGGATTAATTTTTTTTCTTTTTGTTTTATTATTTATTTATTATAATGTATATTTTTTATTTACTCTTTTCAGATTTTCAATATTTGGTGGTAGTGCGGTTATCGTTATTAACGTTATATCTATGTTTTTCGTATTTTTTGTGTTTGATTTTTATGTGTTTATTTTGAGTCATGGATGGTTTGTTAATTTTTTATTTTTACTTTTTATATTTTGGTTCATTGATTTTGTTTTTTTTATTTTTTATTTATTTATTCTATTTCATCTATACTACAGTTAGGGTAATTTGGGGGTTTCATTTATTTATTTTTGTCATTTTGTTTTTTGTTTATTTAGTTTTTTTTTCAGTTTTAAATATTCATTGGGTTTTTTAAAAATTTGTTTCAGTACCCTGCATTTTGAGACATGTATTGGATTATTTGGTTACTACATTTATTTTCGTCTAGAAACTCTGAGGCATTTTTTCCTCCTAGCAAAGAATGGCAAGTTTTGGATGTGTTGTTATGGTGAAAGGAACATTGTTTTATTTTGATATTTTTGGGTGAGTGCAATTTGTTTTAATTTCCCAGATATATTTAGAAAGCATTGTGATATTCATGTATTTACTAGGAAAGATGACAATTTCTTTTTATCCCCTTCAGTTATCTCTATGTATACTTTTTCTTTGTTATTTGTGATTTTATTGTGGCTTGGTATATAAATATTTTTACGTTATCTGGCCGACATTCGGATTACTTTATTCTGCAGCGGTAAGTGGGTTTTTTGTTCCTCATTTCAAGTTTTCCAGTAGTTTTTTTTATTATGCTAAGATTCTAAAAAATCAATATCTTTTTAAACGGGGATCAATTGTTTTTTGTAATCTATCAAATAGTTGTGTATCATCCCAGGTTCTGTCTCAAATATAAAATAAAAAAGATCAAATGCCATCTTTATGATACATTTTAAGTAGAAAATCTGCGAGTTCAAATATTTCTGAATGGATTCCCCCACATCCATTAATAAAATTTTTTATGAAAAATTATTTTTAACTGTACCAGCATTTGAATTTTTAAAGATGAAAAATCAGGAATATTTTTGAACGTTCAAAAGGAAAGAAAAACGCATTTTAAATAATTTGAATGCCTATTTATGAACATGATTAAATTTCGGTTCTATTTAAAAGATATTGATCTTAAACCTAATCCAAATGAAAAAAAAAATTAAGTTTTTCAGGATGTAAATAAAATTTTAGGCATTTTAAAAGCATTACCATTTTTTCATCACACCCATTTGAAATTAAGCCAACTATTTTATATTAAAAAAAAATAAAAAGCAAATTTAAAATTATCTTAAAAATCCAGTATTCGTAAAAGGATAGACATGAAAATTTCCAACATAAATAAAAGACTTAATCCCAAAACAGGATGTTCATAAAATTTTTAATACTTACATACTTTTTACAATTTAAAACAGAATTAAAATAGTATTTATTTGCATCACTGTAACCTGATAGATAACCAGAGAAAAACAATTTCTGAATAGGACAAAATATCAGGTCATCCCAAAGTCATTATGTTCGAATTTTGAATAAAGAAAACAAGTGACCAAATGTTATGTTTAATTACAGATTCAATCAACAATGTATTTTCCTTGATTATCTATGACTTCCTTCCATCTATTAACAAGCTTACTAATTCCATTACTGTAAAATTCTTTTGGCTTTGATTCGAAGAACTCACAAATGTCAGTTTTAACCTCTTCCTGTGTTAAAAAGCTGTTTCTTCCAAATGATTCTGTAAGCTACAAAACAAATGGTTAATCTGAAGGAGCAAGATTGGGAGAATAAGGTGGATGAGGAATTTTCTCCCAACCAAATTCTTCGATCTTTTGTGGCGTGATTCTTGCTGTGTGAGGGGTCGCGCATTGTCCTGATGAAACATCACCCTCTTTTCGATTCACTAGAGCAGGTCTTTTTTTTTTCCTCAAAGCTTGGTTCAAAGACTAATTGCTGACAGTATATTTGAGCATTAATTGTTGCATTAGGTGGTAAGAATTCAAAGTGGATTATTCCTTGGCAATCCCACCAGATTGAAAGAACCGTTTACCCATGAAGTTCCCTTCTCGGCTGTGGTTGGGGTCCTTCCCCTTAACCAAGCCCGTCTATGGCGCTTAACATTTCGATAAAAGATCCATTTTCGTCGCCAGTCACAAGTCTATCCAAAAAGGTGAAACAAGTTGGCGAGAATGGAGAGAAGAGCAGATGTCAACTAGGGATTTGAGGTTGTTTTCAGACAATTCATGAGGCACCCATTTTCCAAGTTTAGTAACTTTTCCAAGTTGTTGAAGATGACGATGAACAGTTGTATGGTTTGAACTGAGAACCACTGCCAATTCCTCAACTGATAAAACAGGATTTTCTTCAAGGGCTGCTTCAAGAAGCTTTTCATCAAACTCAACTGGACATCCAGTTCGATCTTCATCTTCAAGGGTGAAATCTCAACCTCTGAATTTTGCAAACCATCTTCTGCAAGTTCTTTCATTCACACATTCTTCTCCATAAACTGAGTGAATGTTTCTAGCCGCTTCGGCTGCTGAGTTTCCTTTCTTGAACTCATAAAGCATTATGTGCCTCAAATGATTCTTGGGTTCTTCCATGTTAGCAGGGTTTTAATCAAATAAAATTTAATTTTATTGTTCTCTGAAATAAAATTTGATCAGTTTAAATGCATCTAAACATAAAAATAATGTTCAGCTCCATTAGACATTATAAAATACTCTTTAAATTTCGTTCATTTTAACAAAAAGCATACACATGTGTTCTTTTGGTAGCCACTGAAACTGGTCAATCTGGTTACTTGAAAGAGGTTCTGCCAGAAAACAACAACAATAATAATAATCAATAACAGAATCAACCAGAAAAAAGTTTTTTTCTGTCCCTTATTTGTTAAATAAAAAATATAGAATAATAGAAATGTTATTCTTATGGCAACAACTGTACAAGCAGCATTGCTTTTCCATCTGCAGGAATGGAACTAGTGCTGCCCATTAAATATTAAAAAAGAAAAAAATCTAACAGTCAAAATATTGACTCAAAAGTCACTTATTAAGACTAGAAGCTTCAGAAGAATGATTATTTAAAGAATATGCTTCGTTATGTGACTGCCAAAGAATTCTCAAAATGTTCTTACCATCATCAGAATGCAACTGAGTAACTGTTTGTATGCTTTGTTGTAGTTGTTTCAAGCAAGGCTTGACACTTTTCACCTAAACAAACAAAAAAGAAGAAAAAAAAAGCTATATTTTTTTATATCACAAGGAAATTTAACCTTTACAAGTTGTGTCAAAATTTTATATTAAATTATTTTGATATCTATAAATGTAATAAGTGCTGTGCCATTATTAAGACCATAATTCCAGCTGGATATAAATGAATAATGTCTCAACTAAGACAAACTAATTGATTAAAACTTATTTCTTGCAGATACAACAGAGAGAATAATTTGGTATGAGAGTTTCAAAGTTATACACTTCTAGAAAATAAATTAAAATAAATACATTAACAATTTTAAAAGGTATATGTGTAAAAAAAAAAAAAAAAATTACACATTCATTCATTCTCTCAAAATTTTCCCTCAACAATTGTATATCAGAGAGAGAACCAAACTGCAATCTGAAAATAACCTTATAAATATTAATAAAAAAAATTGCTTAGTACTCTTTTTATTGTAAATTTGTTACATGGTTAACAATCACAATCATTTTATTAGTTAGAAATCGATTATCATTCACATTGTCATTTTCACTAAAGAAATGAGAAAATTAAAGGGGTATAACTTTCAAAGTTACCGTCCTTCACCCAGAAGTAAATGCTTCAGGTTTTTCATGCTTTCATTTTAATGAGAAATAACTATTGTTAAATAAAAATATTCAATTTGATTCTAAGAATATGACAGCCTACATGAATTTATTTTGGTGGTCAAAATGATGCCTAAATACTAATCAGTAGAGCATATATACACCACACAAAAAAGAATCCTCAAAATGTTGAGTTACAATAATGGGATATGTACTCACTTGTCCAGCCATTAAATAGTGACATACTTGAAGAACCAAAAAGAAAACATTGAGAGATTCTTTTTGAGTAGGGGAACCTTTGTAGTGCTCAATCAAAGCACCAGATAATGACAATACTTCTTTTACTTCAGAAACTTTTTTATCAACCAGCAGTAACTGAAACATAAACAGACACATTGTTAGTAAGAAAAGCAATAAAAAAAAAAACTTATAGGCATAGAAACTTATGTAAGTTCCTTTTTTCCCTTTAAGTTGGAATGAATGTAAAAATAACAGCCACATACTTCTAAAAGCCAGTACAATTTGTACCAAGTCTTATGCAAAAAGTTTGTAATTAGAAGCAGAAACAGTTATTTCTAGAGAGGTTAAAAGAAAGTAAAAAAAAAAAATAGAGGCTTTAGAGAATTTTTAAAATTCATATAAAGTCATTTTTGTATGACAATCTTTGAAATGGACTTGAGAAAAGGCCTAACAATTATAGATAAAAATCAAAAAGTTTACTTTATCTGCAGTCTAAATGCAAAGTTGAAATATATCATTTTATTTCTCTGCCAATGCAGGATTTTAACTGATTTTCCATTTGTATTTTCAGCAATCATGAACTTGAATTATTTTAAAACAAAGTAATATAAAAAGTAAATTTTGCACTACTAAGCTAAGTCCTATGTCAACTCGTGTTGCTTGTCATATTATAAGATATCATTCACTTAAGTTTTTACAGCAGTCCCAATAATTAATAAAGGTGACAGTGTAAAATCTCTTCTGGATAGAAATTATAACAGACTTAAAAACTGATTAAGTGCTGATTATGGAGGAGAGACAAGAAATGTGAGTAAATGAACCATAAAAAAAATGTTTTTCTTCCCAGCACTGTCAAAAAGATAATTATCATCACACTCACCATTCCTTTACTGAGAAGGAAAAGAAGACGGAGGTAATCAGAACGAGCTGTAAGAGCAAAATCTGAACCAACACCCAATAGCTGACATGCAGAGGCATATTCTCTTTCTGATGCATGGATTTGCTGGAAAGAAAAGAAAAAAAGTAATAGTCCAATTGAAGATAAATTTCTTAGAAAAAAATTTGTCCTTCAAAGTGAAGAGGAGAGAAACACACACACACACTCAATGACTGAGTTTATATTTTATTGTATATTTTCCTTGTAAGTACTCTGCTACCAACATTCCATTCAAAAGGTGCGACAGAAATACCTCCTACATAAGGGTAAGACATTAAGCTAGATGAAGACACCATTGCCACTAATGTCTTACCATTATGTGGGAAGCATTCTGGCTACACACTACATATTTTCTTGGCTGATATATAGCAAAAGAGTTTTTATGGTGTACAGCACAGAAAAAAAATGAAAAATTTTAAACAAATATTAATGACAAAGAGAAAGCAAAATTAGAGAAATCATGATGCTATTGAGTCATTCTGTGTCAAATCAGGCATGGATTTTTTTTTTCAAATGAGGTACACTTATAGATCTTCTTGATACAAATTGAATGGTACCTATTTTACATCTCTAGGTCAAAGGGTCCCTGGGATATGAATTTTTAGAAAATAGTCACAAAGTTTAAATATCAATATCTCAGTTATTTTTTCACCTACAGAGCTATGTTATGCACTATTTTAAAAATAAACTATTTATTTTTTTGTTTAAAAAGGTCAAATAACAATTTGACCTTTAATTTCTCAAACGTATCTTTAATTTTTTTTTTTTTTTTTTTGAATTTGAGGACAAATTTGTCTTCTGGCAAGATATGTACAAAATTTTGTGGTGGACTTTTGAATGTGCGTGAGTTGGTTCAAATTTGAAATGGTGGATTTTGGTATTTGCCATAATATGCTAACATTTTCATATCTCTCAATATGGTAAAGTTATAAATCTTGAGAAAGCTCTTTGAATGCTGATTAATATTCACATAAGAACTATGAGCATAAACCCAACAGAATTTGCAATATTTGTGTTTAAATGCTTACCAATTCAATGGAAAATAAACAACCTTATTTTTGGTTTTGTTTACATTTTTATTATACAATAGATTTTTATATGAAAAAGTGACATAATGAAAATAATAATTTTAAAAAGTGTTATGAATTAATGTTAACATAAAATAATATGAAAATATGCAACAAATGATGTTAATGGTTAACAAGAAATTAGAAATTTAAGTTACTACTAAAACAAGCTGCAAACTCCAAAGGAGATCCTAGCATCATTTGAAGTGGGAAGGGTTAAAACCACTGTATACAACAAATCATATTTAAACCAAATCATTCTTACATTTATAATGAGTTAATTCTTTATTCCAAAGGATTCTTTTTTGTGTAGCTCCCAGCTGCTGAACAGTAAAAAAAAAAAAAACACACGCACAAACACATGGCAGGGGAGTGAATGATTCGTGAACAGACAAATAACAGCTGAGTGGAACTGTGCCCACTATCACGATACCAATGACAAACAAGCTATGCATTAACAAGTGAGGAGTCAGATAAATGGTAACTACGGTGATCTGAAGGAAGTTGAAGACTAACGCAGAGCAGAGGGCTACATTATTGGTGGCCATTAATGAGGATCAACTTGTAGAGTGATATTATTGGTTACTGTTGACCAGGATTGACCAGTGAGGTTACAAATTGGAATAGGTTACAGTAAATATCCTATTCTGTAACACGGATTTACTTGTCAGTTGTGGTTGACTGTAAGCAGATGGGTGTGTCCCTTAGGGACTGATGCACTAAACATCTCCATCCATAAGTGGGAATAATGAGAAGGGAAACATTATGGTAGGGTGTTGAGAGGGTTTGCTTGAAGGATAAGTCAGCCAAGGTAACTTGGGAATCACATCTAGATACTTGAGAATCAGAGCAGACTGGGTTACCCAACTAATTTTTTCTAACTGGATCCCAGCAACAAGGTCATGCACTGCTTTATCAAAACCTATCACCATATTGTGCACATTTGACTGTGATACATGTACCTGGTATGCTCTTATCAGACTGGTTGTCATGAATTTTAAAACATTAAAAAAAGTTCAGCTTCAGGGTATATTTTCTACAATGCCAAATGAAGTTTCCAACTAATTTAATTTTTCTGAGAATTAATCTCATAGAAATGTAGATATTTTTAGTTCCAAAAGATATTTTAATAGAAGTTTCATAAAATTAAATAAATGGAATCTGACTGATTAAAAAAAAAAAAAAAAAAATGCTTTCACAAACAAATCAATCTATAAATGAATAGATACTGAAACTTTACTGAAATCCAATAATTAGAATTTTGGTAAAAGCTCCATCTTTGGTTTTTGCATAAAAATTTTCACATGTAAATCATTACATCACAAAGTTTTATAAAGTTCAAGAAATCTTTCAAACAAATATCTCCAGTTCTATATAGTGAATAATTTTTATGAGGGAGTTTTCAGCCTGGCCCATTTCCTAGAATCTGACCAAATGACATTTTTTTTTCCTTTTTCAGTACACCCTTGTCTATAAGCATTTTCTTCAAACTTTCTTCTTAGTACAAAGATTATAACTTTTATACAAGTGTTGGGCATTTTTTTTAATGTCACTGTATAAAATAAAGGATCTCAATAGTCACTACACATTGATTTAAATCATTAGGTAAATGAGTGAAGTCTGAAGGATTTCAAATTAGAAACCCATTTTTCAAGTAATTTTCCATCTAATCCTGGTAAATCCAACCAACACTATTGTGATCAATGAACATATCAACCAAGAATTGAATTTGAGTCAAAATGTTGCCAAAAATTAAAATCTAAAATGAAAAGAATTCAGATTTCCTTAGAAAGAATAATATTAAAGATTCTTCTTTAAATTTGTGGTGTATAGAGGTTAATCAGTCATATCCACTACATTCATCTCAGACCCAAGGAGGTGCACAGCAATTTAGAGCATTGAAAGGAACCAGTATGAAATAATGCCAATGTTTGTTGGCTGAAATTTATGCTATTCTTCTCTGTCCAGTCTTTTACCATAAAAGATGAAAATAATTTACAAAACAATACTGAGGTAAATTATCAATATTTGATGACCAATTATGTGGCATTAATATTTTCATATTTATTTCCTCTAAATATCAAAGTAATAAAAATTCCAAACTGTACACTATTTTGGGTAATGCCTAATTTTACAACCCTAACCCAAACAATTTTCTTGTCGATATCAAGTGTTAAGTTGTCAAGGAATATTAACCATTTGCATTGTGCTTTAACAATAAGCAAGATAAATCAAGACTTGAATGTCATGGTACCTAAAAGTAAATAAATGATGCAGCTATGTATTCATTCCACAAAAAGAAAATAATTACTTGTAGGCTGCCTTCATCATAAGCCAAATATATTGGCTAAGAGAAATGTTAATTCTATTAATTGGAGCATTTTTAACATTCCTGAGAAAATTCAAGAGCAAATTGGCTGTTGAATTTTCTATGGGTCTTTTTCTATTTGTCTTTTCTTTAGGTATATCAACACTTTCATAGGTCAAGTATTATTTTGTTCAGTACCTTTTAATAATTGGTGAATAGTGGAATGTATTTGGACAAAAGATTTTGTAAAAACATTTATCATTCTTTCTAGATTAGTGTATATAATTGGCATGTGACAGCTGATCGATTTTTTTCCATTACCTTTGAGTTATTTAAAGCCAAAACATATTTTGGATTGTAGATTTCTTATAGTATCCGATTTTCAAGCGATCCCCCATCTAAGTATTGACTGGGCTTGATACTGCTTAACTTTGGTGATCGAACAAGAACTGATACTTTCAGTGTAATTTGACAGTAGGCACCATGTGAGAGAACATACAATTTTTCATTCTCATTTGTTGCTCTATTACTAAGCTGTGTATGTAAGGACATTAAATTAATTTCCTTATTAAAAATGCAATGAAAGAATTTTATGGGATCATCATGTGTAATATAAGCATCAAGGAATAGACATGCCATATTCTTTTGATCAATTCAGAGGACAGGTAAACACAAGGAGGCAATTAGGATTTTCCTGACCCTAATTTATCAAAGCTCTTTAAGCATCTGTCCCTACCACACTGCTAGAAACAATCATAGTACCAATGATAAGCTTTTTGATAGAACAACAAACATTTTTGATTGTGAATATTTGGATACACTAATATTATTTATATGGAAAATTAATGCATACGGCATAATTAAGGTATATGAGAAAAGTTACTATGACTGAAAATTAATAAAAACATTTTTATGCAAAACTGTTGTAGAGGATTTAACTGAAATATTTAAATAATGTAATTTTTCATAAAAATTACAACATTACAGTAAAATTTAACTAATTTCTTTTTGTATTTATTCATTTTTAAATATTTTTTAATTTTCATTACAACCTGTAATACTTGCATTAAAAACAAATAAATGACTAAAGATTCAATTATAAAAATAAATATTTATTGCCTGAACCTTTTAATGGTGTTTTTATTATTACTAAGTACAAAAATGATAAAGTTAAAAAAAAGAAACATTTTGACTTTGGGATGGTTTAAATTTTTTGCAGGGACAACTAAATCTGTTTTTCAGGATGATCATGAGACAATGGTGAAAAAAAGTTATTCTGGAAACCTGGTAAGATCCAACACTCTTTCCTGAAAGAAAAACCTATTTAAAGCCAAAGAGTTGCCTTCATGAATTTACTATTGTGTTCAGAGCCACAAATAAATGACTATTTCGGACCTGGAAGTAAAACCAAATATTTACTTATGTAAATATCAAAGTGTTATCAATACAAAAGTGCCCTACAGGGAAATGACTGGTCTGAACAGTTTTTAAGCTTTTGAGAAGAAAAAAAAATTGCCTTTTAAATTTCACACAAGAAGTGCTTCTATTCAGGAGAAAGAATATGTGACAGCACTAAATATATAATTAAGCTGTTTTGTGAAAAAGTTTCCTTTAGCAGTGTTTCGAATCATGAAGCATTTTTAAGGGACTCTAAAACACAAATCTACATGGATAAAATGTAAAAGAGCAATTGGAAAAGATTCAAATTTCCATATAATATTCTCGACATGTTTTCAACAATATTTAAATAATCAGACTCTGAAATTAAAAGCTAAAAGGTATTTTATAAAATACTCTATATGGATGAAAGACTCATATTGTAGTAACAAATCTTTGATATCAAAAAGAAAATTACTATTTAACATTTATAGCTTTATTTAAGTGGTGAGCTCAACATTTCCTATAAATTCCAAGAATGTTATTAAAAGATAATAGTCCTTTTCTAAATATTTACAAAGATATGAAAATCTGTTTCCTTTGGCAGTGTTTTGAATCATGTTTCAAAGTACAAATAATTTGAGAGATGCAGGTTAGTGAGAAATAAAATTGAGGTGTGCGAGGGTGTACATTAGATGAAAATAAAATAAATCCATAATAGAACTTACAGCTAGATGAAAAAGTAATCGACAATGCCAGTATGGAGCTTGTTGAGAGATTTCAATTGCTCTTCTCAGGATTGGTTTGGCAAGGTCCACTTGAAGCTGCAGTGAGGAAGGAAAATAACAAAGCATTTCCCAATAAGAAGTCATTGTTTATTATTTTTATTAGCTTTAATATAGGGAGAGAAGGTAAATTCTATTATAATAAATATTTTTTAAATTGTTAGTACATGAATATTCCCGCCGCAACAAATGGTACCAATTTGGTCACGAGTGTGTAAACCAGCTGTAACTATATAGAGAGGGAAAAATCTCTCAAGAGCACCTTTTGCAAGAGTTCCAACAGGAAATTAATCAGTGACATATATGACTTTAAAATGCACTTAAGCATTTTTAAGGGACTCTAAAACACAAATCTACATGGATAAAATGTAAAGAGCAATTGAAAAAGATTCAAATTTTATTTTCATAAAATATTCTTGACATGTTTTCAACAAAATTTAAATAATCAAACTCTGAAATTAAAAGCTAAAAGGTATTTTATAAAAATACTCTATATGGATGAAAGACTCATATTGTAACAAATCCTTGATATCAAAATATTCAACATTTATAGCTTTACTTAAGTGGCAAGTTTGACATTTCCTATAAATTCTAAGAATGTTATTTAACATAATAGTCTTTTTCTAAATATTTACAAAGACATGAAAATCTGTTTTTAAAAATAGTCATGATTTAAGTTGATTCAATAAACAATGCTTGAATAAACAGCTACTGATATTTGAACTTCATTCCATTGCTAAAAGCTAAATTAGCAAAAGAATATTCAAACTGTACACTCATTATCTTTATGATGATAAAAAATCTGCATCCATCATCAAGTGAAAAAAAATCTTTTAAGTAATAGGATTCCTATTTTATAGGAGGGGGGCTGTTTTTACATAAGATAGTTTCAACTGGTAATGGAAGCATCAGAAAATTAACATTCAATGAATATAAAATTTGCATTTTTTCATAAAATACTTCTTGGGTGCTTAACATTATTTTATGTATATACATAACTAATGTAACTCTTTTTGAAAACATTATATTACCATTTAAAATGTCAAATGAAAACTAAAATATCAACTCACCTGTTTCTCAAATATCTGAGCCAACACACTGGCAGCTTCAAATCGAACATCATCTGCTGAAGCCAACTGAACAGTTAAGGACAAAGGATCACAAACAATAAAAACAAAGAAACAATTTTCAAACTGACAAATATAAACAAGTGACCAATACCAAATTCTAAAGATAAAGACACCAGATTACTAATGAATGATGACTTACAATTTATAAATTGGCTTCCCACTAGGATGCAATGCCTTGTCACCAAGGTGTAAATCAGTTTAAAATGTTAAAATTTGGAATAAACAAATGGAGAGAAAGAGAAAACAATATTCTTAGCAGTGATAAAACTGAAAATAAATGGCTTATTTTGTCATTTATAAATGCAGAGAAACAACAACCACAGAGCATAGCATTTAATGTTAGAATAATCTGGTTAGCTATCATATGCATGTGAAATGGTGCTCAGCAGGTTCAAAGTTTTATAGTTGTTAGGTGTAATGTCTTTGAAAGTTTTTACAACTATGCTACAAATTTCTTTATTACTGCAAATTCAATGGAAAATAGAGTGAATATTCCAGAATTTATATGCATATGACCGGCACATACATCGTCTAATACTCATGATTCTAAATAGTATAACTTTCTTTAAATACAGTTCTAAAAGAAATTACAATCAATAATGAGACAGGCTTAACTGACAAGTTCACCAAGATTTTGCTAACAACTTTGAATAAAATACTCTCAGTTAATCAAAATAAGATAAATGTAAGAACAACAATGTTTAGCAATTTCTCCATAGACATCTACACTGATGAGAGACTGGAAGCAATGCACAGAAATACATTTCCCTTATAATTGGACAATGTGAAATGCAGTGATCATTTCAGTTCTTAATATCAAGTTTAGGAATCCATGAAGTCTGCAAAACATAACAGATACAAGGCATTTTGAAGCAAAGTTTTTATATATATATATATATATATATATATATATATATATATATATATAACAAGCTCATTTTGTAAACTATCCTAATAAATTTGATCCTTGCTAGGTTAGGTTGGTTGATTTTATGTCAACCCTTGTTGGTTTATTTAATGTCATTTTGTATGATGCACAACACCAGGAGGATCAAACACACAAACAGGCTAGCCTTAGAAACCATTCTGAGTGTGACACTATAGCAGTAATGGTCCAAGCCATGGTTCCATCGGGCAGAGATTAAACTTGTGACATTTTTTTTGATTAACCAGCTCACTCTGCAGAACCTCCACCTTGTCAGCTACATGGTGGAGGTTCTGCAGAGTGTGCTGGTTAGTTAAAAAAAATGTCACAAGTTCTCAATGGATTGAGATCTGGAAAGAACACAGTGAAGTTTTCATATTCCTGAAACTTTCTTGCACAACTTGCACAGCATTGCAGGTTGTCCTACTGAAAGATGCTACTGTCATTGTAAAAGACCAGTGCCATGAAGTGGCGTACCCAATCTTCAATGCTATTGAAGTAGGTGGTACACAAAGTACCATCAACATGAATGATAGGAAAGTGTTTCCAAGCAGAATGCTGTCCAACCATCAAACTACCTACAACAGCATCTTCTTTCCTCATCAGGCAACCTGGTGCCATAGCTTTCCCAGGATAATTCTCAGGATAATGTGATGCTCATATAACCTGTCATCCATTCAAGAGAAAGTGAAACCAGGTGACCTCCTTCCATTGATGAAAAATCTAGTTCCAAGAGTCATGCTTTCAGTGATGGATATTGGTTAGCATGAATATTCTCAATAGCATGCAGCAACATACACAACTAGGTTTGAAATGCTGTATCACTACTTTTCTCATAAAATACTATTTGTGCCACAATTGCCCTTCCAATGGTCCACATATGGTGGGAAAGCCTTTGCTCACTTCTTACATGAATAAATCTTGACTGCCTTGTTGGCGATTTTTCCCTTCTTGGATCAATGTCAACAGGTATTTACCACTACTAACTGTGAGCATCCTACAAGACACAATGTTTTGAAAATATCCTGACCATAACAATTAAGTTTTTCAAATGTTTCTTCTTGCTCATAACTCTGGCTTTCAAGACATTAAAGTGAAGTACTTGTGACCAGTTTACCTGCTCATATATATCTGACTGATATATACAGTTACAATATAATAACTGTCATTCTACTGACATGTTACTGGTCATTTTTTAGTTCATCAGTGTATATTCCATTGTAATGCATGGAATTAGGCTGGTGCAAAAAGATTTATTGGAAATAAATGTTTTGGCATAAAGAGCTCATTTGGTACAATGTGTTAAACAAATGATTTCTGTTACGGATTATTCACCCAGGGGTCAAACAATTTATGGATGCTAATAATTTTAATATAATTAATGCTATATTGATATTATAATTTCAAATTCTTTATTGGATGATGTGATTGTGTCAGTAAATGCTAAAAAAAAAAAAAAAAAAAAAAAAAAAGATTTGCTGAAATCAATCAGAAGTGATCACCTAAGAAAAAGGTTATAGATTAAATCTAAAACGTTTAGTGTTTAAAAATTGTCACTTTTATTTTTTTATTTACACATCTAGAAATAAGATTTTGTTTGCTTTTCAATAATAATCCAGAAGGAATAAAAAATTATCAAATCATATTTATTCCATTGTGAGGATGTTCCATTTAAATTACATAAAAGCTATCAAATTTATGTTTAACACTCAATTCACAGCAGGTCATTTTTATAAAGAGGATGTTATTTCTTCTAGGAAATGTAGTTTGTCTGTTTGAATCTTATAATGGGGGTGGTCAATTGTAATCAAAGATATGCACATCTCTGACCAACATATAATATTTTAATTTTTAATGTTTACATAGATATAACCATTCCCATAATCACATATTTCAACATAAACATGTATCTGCCAACAAAATTTTTGTTTTAATAGAAAATACATATATTGTATCACAATAATTATTACTGATAGAAGTAAATCACAAACACAAAAATTGACAGGTTTGTAAATTTGGTTGTCACCAGTCAATGTGATTATCAAGATAGGGAGTCACACTGTGTTCTTGCTTTCCTAGTTTGGGGGGAAGTTGAAATAATTGTGCCATTAATATATTACTATTTCAAGAGAATTATAAATATATGCAATATCAAATTTGATTATAATGTATAAAATTCATTTTCTGTTTGCATAAAATGTAAAAGCTCAGAAATGACTAGGTTATTGTACATCTGAGTAATATTCTTTGAGGAAGAGTATTCTGACTAAGAATATATATATGACATTGGCTAATCAAACAAGGCAAGGATAATAAGCAAGAAAAATTGATTGACCAGTGAGAAAATATTTGAAGATGATGATTTTGCAAATGTAAACAGGGAGATAAATATAAAGAACACTGGACAAAGGCATGAAACCAACTAAAGTATCTCTAACACAACAAAGAGAAATGGTTAAGTTGGGTGAACTTAACAGTAATTTTTACTGATGACTGTAGAGCTATATTGAATGAACGAGACTACTGAGATTGAGTCTTTCATGAAAATAGTCAACCAAAATGATTCAGAAAACAAAGGAGATAGAGTCAGGTTTTTGGTCAGTATTGTATGCCATAAAATTTATAGATTTCTTTAAATTCGATGACAGTTCAAGATAAATGCAGAGAATATAAGTTTTTGGAAAAAAAAATTGTTTCATGTGATTAAAAGAGATGTAAATTGGAATAGAAAATTTTAAAGCATAAAAAATCTCTGGAAAGCCAAAAGAAAATGCTGGAAATAGTAAAAGTTTAAGAAAATCAATGGTTGTTACTCAAATATGTTCTGATAACTTTTAAAACTTATAAAAATTCATGTTGCCTAATAAAATCTGATACTCTCAAAACAAGTTATTAATATTTTTAATAATAAATATTATAAACTGAAAATTAAATTCACATGGCATATTTATCATATAAATTATATCCTGAAAATCTTACCAACATCAATTGGTTAATACAAAATGTTATTGTAAAAACATTGACTTACATAATCTGACAGTGTAAAAATAAGAGTACTTACTAAAAAATCCTTATTGTATGAGAAAAAGAGAGAAATAGATTCCTTCATTTCATTTTTTGAGTACAAATGAGAAATGACTTTAACTGTTCTATGTATTTTCTTGTACTATATCCATATTTTGCATGTAATCTGCACTGATATCTACAATTTTGAAAACGTAAATAATTTTTTCTGCATTATTTAAGTCTTAATTCTCCAATATACTGTACTTTCTAGTGAAGAAAAGCAACAGAATGTTTCTGCTAATGTTAATGAGAATAAAACTAAATACATGAAATTAATAAATTCTGCTGTATGTCCATATTACTTGGACAGCTGTCCCAAAATGTTCAATTGCTTTTTCGTTTGTGTGTATGTTTTGTTTTTTTTTCATAATACAGTTTCTCCAGAATTTTCTTATTTTAAAATGGCCATTTTACTACGTTATTTACCGAGTAAATTGTTCACAACTCTTATTAAACAAATTAAAGGGTTTTTGTTGGCACTGTTTTTTTTTTTTAACAAGAAAATAATTCTTCTAGTCTTTGTTCACTGCTTTCACTAATAATGAAAAGATAATTTACAAATTATGTCAGCCAGTTTTAGTGACAACAGTTGATGTTGACTGTCTTCTCTTGATTATCAGAGTGAAAATTAATGTAATTCTGAACTTGAATAGACATGTAGTTTCCCAGTTATTGGTATTGTTGGTTTATTAACTGTAGATGATGTTTTCAGCAGAACAGATTTTTTTCTAAGCTGTTGGTTCTGTTTCTCCTCTGCATCTATTTTTTGGTTTGTACTGTATAGGACTGACTACACAATGATAATAACAATGACTTGTTTATTATAGCTTTTATATGTGTGGGAGTTTTGATTTAAACAAGTTGTTCTTTCAGTTGTGATCGTGGTCTTGTTAGCCAAAGTCTTCTTTTTTGTTTTAGTTTTGCATCAGTCTCTTGAAACTTCTTTGCATTGATTCATTTTCTATGGCTTATCAACACTTTGTAGGCTATTTCAAGTCAGAAAATATTTTTAGAT